CCAGCTGCGCTTTCTAGGGCCACAGAAGGGGTTTCAAAATGTCTAAGCACAGTGTTTCCCAAGACTGGCTTTTAAGCAATCACAGTCCCTCTGTACGATTTCTAATCATGGTCTGATCGTGTTATTGTATGTGTTGATTTTTCACAAAGCAAGTTGTCTCCAAATGCATTGCTTCTCTCAGCTCCTAGGTAACTGGGCCTGGGTTTTGAACGACGACAAAAAAAATCACATGCTGCCCCAAGGCACTGACTTAAGTTCATGACTGGCGTTTTCACTTTTAAGTGTTCCTTCGTATCAACAATGAAACTAGCACACCTTATTTGACGTCCAAGCTTGTTCTTAATAAATCCCCAAGGCTGAGTAAACTCTGCTATCACAGCTGTTTGGCTTTGTTTGAAAGCGGGCACATAGCAGTTATGCTTTAAGTTGCCCTGTGCTGCTAAGGGAGGAAGGGTGAGGTAAAAATGAATAAATTCCACTTGCAAAAGGTGGCGGAACCATAATATCAGTTAAAATATTTAGGCCCACAGTAATGGCCTCTCAAGTACAGGTAGGTAAAGGACCCCTGGACGGTTAAGTCCAGTCAAAGGCGACTATGGGGTTGCAGTGCTCATCTCACTTTCAGGCCGAGGGAGCCAGCGTTTGTCCATAGAGAGCTTTCTGGATCATGTGGCCAGCATGACTAAACCACTTATGGCACAACGGAACACCGTGGTGGAAACCAGAGCACACGGAAACACCATTTACCTTCCCATCAGAGCGGTACCTATTTATCTACTTGCACTTTGACTTGCGTTTGAACTGCTAGGTTGGCAGGAGCAGGGACAGAGCAATGGGAGCTCACTCCATTGCACGGATTCGAACTGCTGACCTTCTGATCGGCAAGCCCAAGAGGCTCAGTGGTTTAGGCCACAGCGCCACCCGCATCCTCTCAAGTGCAGGTGAACCAGGACCACACTTTTTTTTTGTGAACCAGGGAGTTGAACATACAGATCTGAAAGGATTTTCCCAAGTCTTCGGGTACGCTCACATATAATTGGGGAAATCATATCACTATCAGTGCATTTGTATGCTGTTTCCCTGCAAGATTATGTCCAAAGCAATAAACAGAACATTTTTCTTCAAAAACAAAACAATGGCAAAGAGCCACAATGTCAATATGTAAAAACCTAAGTTAGGATTCACTTAATACACCTGGTTAGTGGAAGGAAGGACTTCCGCTTGTGCAATGGAGCTTTCCCTCTCCTTCCCATTAAAATTGGATCTGTAGGGTTGGAAGAACAGTGCACAGTGGAAGGAGAGAGAGGATTGTTCTATCTGCAAGCTGAAATGCTTGTGCAGGCTGTGTGGGATATTTAATTGTAGTCAAACCAACAATTTCCGTTTTGCCAGATAGGCACATGAAGGGACCGGGGCTCAAAGAGCTTTCCTGTAAACTCGTTAGAGAGAACTCTGTAAGATCCCTCCTCTCTGTGCCCGGATGGCAAGAAGGCGTAGCCATTTATGCTCCTCCTTGCCAGGTCACCCTCTCGCTCTGCTCATCTCCACCATGCCTACAATGTGAGATCATTGCAAGTCTGAGCTCCAGCTCAGGCTCCATTTTTAACCTAGACTTAAGTACGTCTTAGTAACTCAATTACCATGTTAAGCCTGTCTGAATGAAGCAGCTGTGTCTTGTTACTCTTCAAGACGTATTCTGAGTAACTGTTATTTTTACCTTTTACAAGACTGTGTGTGATCACAGTGTATTGAATGAAGTTCTATGGTATCTTGGGAACCACTATGAAGTATATCACCCTATAATAATAATAATAAAGTGATTTTGGAGCATAACGTAAATTACAATTATGGAAAGAACAACAAGCCTTCAACAGTTATCATTTATTTGCATGCCACCTTTCCATAGATATAACAGGGTCAAGGCAGCTTACAACATGAAATGAATTACAAAATTACAAAAAAACTAAAACTAAATTTAAGTCATAAACAATAAATGAAAATATCTCTATAAGCATACAATAAAACTGAAAAATCCCCACATAGTTCACAATACAGTGCAAGAATAAAGATACAAAAACATAATACCAGTAACAGCAAAAATTAAGACTCTCCAAAATTAAACTCGTGATGCCAACAAAAGCTCCCCACCTCCTGGCCCCTGGTCCCTCCTGAGCAACAGGTCTTGTAAGATGGCCTCTGGCTCCTTCTGCAGTAGCCGGAGCTTTTGAAGCAAGAGTCAGTCTGGGCCCCACCCTCCCAGGCCAGGTGGAAATAGGCCAGCAAAGCAGGGAGTGGATATTGTGGGCCTCACAGGAAAGATGGCCCATATGTATATGAAGATGTATGGATTCTTTTTTTTGGGGGGGATTCCCTTGTCCCACTGCAGCCCATCCCCTACATCATATGCTTTTCTGAGGTTCCTAACTCTCAGCAGGAAGCTGTAGAGGATGAAAGGATGGGAGGTGGGGAGTTCTATTCACAGAACAGAAATTAGGGTCCAAGCCATGGTACATTTTGTCAAAAGCAACCTTGAACCCAAAATTGAAAGAAAATTAAGAGGGAGAGAAACAAAAGCCTCAATGATCAACAAAGAAATAGTATATCGATCCTAAAAATTGTGAAGGTTACTTAAAAATAAGAAGAACCAAGAAGTCTAAGAATAATAAGATGCCATTGATACACACAGCAAATAACACAAATTAAACATCATGTACCTGGAAGGCATATACCATGGAAATGCAGGATTAATGCAAGAATGCCACAAATAATAAAACTATAGGTGAGACAGAGAGACGATAAGAAAGGGAATTAGTGAACAATAAAGCCGTAGGACGCGGGTGGCGCTGTGGGTAAAAGCCTCAGCGCCTAGGGCTTGCCGATCGAAAGGTCGGCGGTTCGAATCCCCACGGCGGGGTGCGCTCCTGTTGCTCGGTCCCAGCGCCTGCCAACCTAGCAGTTCGAAAGCACCTCCGGGTGCAAGTAGATAAATAGGGACCGCTTACTGGCGGGAAGTTAAACGGCGTTTCCGTGTGCTGCGCTGGCTCGCCAGATGCAGCTTTGTCACGCTGGCCACGTGACCCGGAAGTGTCTCCGGACAGCGCTGGCCCCCGGCTTCTTGAGTGAGATGGGCGCACAACCCTAGAGTCTGGCAAGCCGTAGGATAAGGTAATGGTGAATATCAAATGATATTCAAATCCTCATTTAAGTCCATCCTAGATGAGCAAAATTTTAAGATATAAATGAACATGAAATCTACTTAGAATACAGCCAGCACTGACTCTAATCATAAACTTCTTGAGCAAAATGATTTTTTATCAGATAAGCCAGTGCGCTCCATAATTACCTTGTTTTCAGTCTACAATTTGGTTCAACAGAAGTTTGATTTTTATGTGCACTTTTTTTTAAAGGACCTGCTTTTGCATGAAGATTGTGAGACAGGGACCATATATCAAGCTTAAATTCAGGAGATAGGGTACAATCCACAAGGAAGTGCTACCTGAATTGGAATTTTGCAAAAGTATAGCCATGATTATGCCAGAAGAAAACTAACAATAGTCACACACTGCATCATTTTGACCACTGGACATGCATTCAAGATGCTTTCTATGTATGTGAAAGTATGTATATATTGTGTGGCTATTTACAAATGGCTGAGCCATTCCCGAAAGTCCTAGTGAAAAGAAATGGAGATATTACTACTAAAAGATCAATTGTGTATGACTGTTTGTTGGAAGGAAGCACTGATTAGGAAATAGAACCAGAAGAAAATACCTATTTCAGGTTCCCCCAGGGTATGAAAGGACTTATCTTAAACCTTTATATGAGTCACCAGGTGCCATGCAAATTTTGGCGTGTCTTCTACAGTTGGGAAGATGAACCAGAGCTAAAAAATTATCTCGCTTTGTATGAACCTTCTATGAGAGCTATTTGAAACGCCACATTTTGAATATATATTTTTAAAAAGAGATCCCTAGTGATGTGATAAACTCTGCTTCATTCATACATTTTCTGCTGGCGAGATGTGCTCCTGTAATGTTAGCTATCACCTTTGTCCCACAAGGGATTGAATTAGGCTCTCTGCGCTGAAAGAACTTCCTGGATACTCCCTGCCGATCTCAGAGGTTTAAAAATGAGATGGCAATCTCTCTGCCTGCTGTAGCAGGGGAGCTGGCCAAAGAGAATGGATCCAATGAGCATCATCCAAAACTGGTTGGAGTTAAGGGGCCAGCCACTCTCTCACCTTGTTAGCCTGTTAGCTGAATAGTATTCTGTATTATTTTCTCTGCTTTTCACACCTACATATGTATAAGCACAATACTATGATGATATAGCATTGGGTTAATTTTATTTGGGAAAGCTGCATTACACACTCATCACTGCCCTTTTCTTTATTAAATGCAAACATAGTACACTCACCAAAATATAGCAAATATATAATCTTTATCTCTCCTAAAAAAGGTAAAGGGACCCCTGACCGTTAGGTCTAGTCGTGGCCGACTCTGGGGTTGCGGCGCTCATCTTGTTTTATTGGCCAAGGGAGCCGGCGTACATGTGGCCAGCATGACTAAGCCGCTTCTGGCGAACCAGAGCAGCGCACGGAAACGCCATTTACCTTCCCACCAGAGTGGTACCTATTTATCTACTTGTACTTTTTGGTGTGCTTTCAAACTGCTAGGTTGGCAGGAGCAGGGACCGAGCAACGGGAGCTCACCCCATCACGGGGATTTGAACCGCTGACCTTCTGATCAGCAAGTCCTAGGCTCTGTGGTTTAACCCACAGCGCCACCCGCGCCCCTTTATCTCTCCTAGTTTGTCCAGAATTAAATTTCTCCCATAATCAGATTTCAAGTGTGTTTATGTTAGAATATTAAAATACAATTCACTCTGATGCTTCAATTATGTCTTAAATATGCTGTGAACTGCTTTGGGAACTCTGCTTGAAAAACAGGATGCAGTTCTATCAAAGAGATATACCAATATACATTGTGGGTACCAATAACTGACTGCTAATAAAATCATTATTTTTTATTGGCACAAAAGCACCCATATCAGTAAGAGCTGGAAACATCAAAGATTGCCCACACCCCATTTTGAAGATTTTCCCTTTCACTATAGTAAGTATTGCTGCGTTTTAAGCATAGCTCTTCAGGTCAAGGCAAGCTACATTACACAGCTCATTTTTTAAAAGCTAGGATGTGCTTAATTGCTCTTCCAGCAATATAAATCAGTCAGTTGGTTTTAATGATTAATAATGATTAATTTTCCATACATTATCAGACCCCCTTTTCCTCTCTCACTCTTCCTCCCTCCAGTTCCACCCAGGAGGAGAATCATCTAGGGCCACCTAAAAACACAAACAAACAGTCATGGAGCTAAAGTAAGCAACTACTCTATACATTCACAGAAAAAAGAACATTTGCCATGTTTGTGTGGCAATACAAAATGAAATGAAACTTTTGTTTTAAACAACAGTTTGGAACTACATAAGTAAGCCCCTCCTGATCTTTATAACTCTCTAGCTGATAACAGACAAGTGTAGGTGAATGTTGATTTGCTGTGATAATTATTTTTAATTCTGTCTATGCAACAGTCGATTCTATACCTCAGACAAGGATCTCGGTCCACTACAAGAACAACAACAGATATGTATGTCCTTCGGTGCTTTCACCTCTTTAAAATAGACTACACCATGTTACGCAGCAAAAACAACAACCCTAAAAACCTGAGGGGCATTCCCTGCTGGTTATGGGCAAATGTTATAAAACTATGATGCTCGTGTTGATAGCTTGGTTTATAGACCACCTAGATGTAAAGTTGAACTGCCTCTGGGCTGCAATTCTGAAACCATTTATTAAGAGAATAGGAAGACATTGGGAGAGGGATAATAATAATTATAATGTGCTGTGTATGTATGCATGTATGTGTGTTGTGATACCACAGTTTTACATTATTTTAACTTTATTTATTTATTTAACTATTTATTTGGGGGAGGATCAGTGAATTCAGGAGAAACATTAATAAAGAAAACTACAGCAACTGTATCAAGACCTCATCCATTGCCTCTCATGTCAACATCCACACTAGAGAATTTGGTCCTCAAGTTTTGACAGCAGGTGTCAATATTCAAGAGGAAGTAGCCTTAAAGATAGTATGGCCAGTACTTTCAAATGTAGGCTATATAGGCCTCATAAACCGAAGTACAAAGGCTCCCCCACTATCTCTTCCCTTGGAATGCCTGGCCTATCGTTGTTGCCACAGGGGGCAGAAAGGCAGGTGGTGGAACCCTTGGGGAGTAGATACAGCTCTGGGGCTCAATATTACTTAGTCCTGCCTTTGTCTGACAACTTTATTGAGGCAAAACTCTAAAACTTGTTTTATACTAGGTACAAATTCAAATGTTTAAAAAAAAGTAAATGGGGGCCAAAAAGAATTTTATTTTCTTTTACAAATGCATCTAAAAATCTTTTAAAATAGCTTTTAAAACTTTTAATTAACTCACTTTCTATCTCTTTCCATTAATTACTATTGCAGCTACTTACCTAGAATCTTTGTCCCCTGGGAGGTTGGTGTCTTGGTCCATATCCTCGACCTGATGGAGGGGAAAAGATTATTTTTAATGTTCAAAGAGCATCCCTGGTAACAGTTCAGACATTATTTTATTCATTTTAGTATTTATTTGTTCAGTACACTTTTATCCCACCATTCAACTTGCAATCTACAGCTCAGTTGAAAGCTAAACCATCAGACAAACAAAGCAGATAAAAAAATCCCTAGATTCAACCTTAATGCCAAGCATAAAATATCCCTTTAAACTAGCACAACTCATGACAACCTAGCAATATAAAACAATAAGAAAACCCCGAGAAGGCCCAGGCAAACGGGGAAAATATCAACATAGCTGGCACCAGTCATACTTCCTGGAGAGGGCATTTCATGATGTCTGCAGAGAACACCCTTTTTGTAGTACAGTAGAACCTCAGTTTTTGAACATAATCCGTTCCAGAAGACCGTTTGATTTCTGAAACGTTCGAAAACCAAAGCATACATTTCCGGAAGAATCTACATCTGGAAAACTCAATACGGAAGCAGTGTGGCACATCTGGCTTCCGAAAAGCGTTTGAAAACCGAAGCAGTTACTTCCAGGTTTTCGGCGTTCGAAAGCTGAAACGTTTTACTCCCAAGATGCCCGAAAACCGAGGTTTCACTGTATTACCACCCAATATACCTCTATAATGGTAGGACCATGAAAAAGGATTCACCCTCAGATTTAAGAGACCAGACAGGCTTAATTTATATCCCACCCAGGGTGACACAATGTTTTTGAACCTATATTTCTCATGTTCACCCATAATTCTAAGACAAGATGAGTGGTTTGTGCACACATCTTGAGCATTCCCCTTTTGCTCCTACTTTCATGCAGCTTGTGAACCACAAGAACCTTGACCCTATATTCCACTCAGTGGTTTCATGTAGATTTGTAAAGTCACAGGGGACATGACTGAACGCTGCGAAACCACGTAGGATACAGAATGCAGATTGATGGGGAGAAGAGGCAGAATAAAAAGCTGGAAGAACATGGCTCTTTATTTACACCCTAATGGAGTTATGAATTATCTATCAACAGTGGCTGTTTCAGGTAACTTTATAGACATCTGTGACCAACTTGAATGGAAGGACGCTTCAATTCACAGTCCATACTTAGTTTATTGCATGAAGCAGTTACTGCCTGCCACGGTATACTAACATAAATTTGAACTCAAATGTGCATTGCTTCAAAACTACCAGTGTATTCATGGAAAGCAGTAAGAGCTTTGGAAACTGGATGTGTTCTCTTACTGAGTGTGAGATTAAACATTAGAAAATAGGCCCTGCTAAGGCAGCCCTTGAAGGTGTTTGGTTTCAATGGAGGAACTCACACTCCTCTCTCCTGGTGCCTGCCTTCTATGAAGAAAGAGGTACGGCTTCTACTTTCTCAGAGGATGAATTCCTTTCTCTTTTAATTTAATGCCACGAAGGATTCAAGTCAAGAGGGACAATTCACTGTCCTATTAGGAAATCCAAATCACGCTGCTTCTTTCCTTCCTCTCTGGCCAGTGGATGCTGTGAGAAGGGGCACAACCTCTGAATTCTCAACTAGTTGTTTTTCTCTGTAATTTCTTCCGGGGGTGGGAGAAGAACAAAATACCCAACACAGAACCAGGTCATGGCTGGTGCCCATTGAGACTGCAGGGAGATCACCAGTAGGAGGAGCCAGAGCCAACGACAGACAAAGGCAACTAATTCTAGTTTTGTTCCCATCCTCCTCCCTGCTGAGTTCTGCAAGAGCAACATTGACACCAGGGAGGAGGAAGCTGAGGGGCCATGGATTGGTTGTAGGCTGGGTGATGTTGGTGGAACAGCGGCCATTTGCCCCAATGTACAGAACTCCAGAGAAAGTGCTCAGCCTCCTCTCTGCTCAGGCAACCTCAGATGATGCAAGAGGATTGGCTATGCAGGCCTTTTTCACCCCAAGCTTTGAGAAGGCTTGGCCTGGTTCCATACTCTGTGCTGTCATAATCCTTCCAAATTACCCCAAAATCAGTCGCATACAGAGATATAAGACTTTGTTAGAGAGGCAGTTGTTTAAAGTGGCAAATTAAACTTGCATTGTTTCAGCTGATAAATTAACAGGTGCTCTAAGCTTGATGTTTACAAGAGGACTAATATAGGGCTGCCAAATTGTGGTGGTGAGATGGAGGAAAATTACAGACAATTAAGTGTGATATTTTAATCACACTGAATACATCTCAGGCTTGAAAGAGGAAAACCCTTTATTGCAATTGTAAGCTCACTTTCAAGTATGTCCAAGACCCATTAAATAGAGATTCTGCACAAAAGCTCAATCATACTGAATTGGGTAACAAATTAGAATCTGAAACTGCAAGCGATTGACACAACACGCCACTGAAATTCCTTAAGAAACTGGAATAAAACAAACGACATAAAGCTTCTGCTTGAACAGGAAAATTTTGCGTGCATATGTGGGGCAGATTTAGAATAGATGGAGGGAGATGCTTAATTTTGTTGTGATTATTGAGGCAATAATCTATTTGTGACCTTATTATAAAATGTCACTGATGCATAATTAAGATGAGCTGGTTCCTCACCTATTCCTACATTTCACTGTATGAAGTCAGCTAACAGCTTGTCAGTGGTTAAGTTAAAGTCTTTTAATACATGCTTTTATATATCAAAATATTGATGCAGTGAAAGATTTTGCAAGTATATAGTTGAATGCTAATCTATAAGCTGCGTTCTTCTTACCTGGAGGCTGGGATTCATATGAATGGCCAGGTGGCTGACGGTCTCTCCACCACAGAGAGTCACTGCCCTGATCACGATAAGGACGAGATGGAATTCTGTTTGGATTCCGAAAGTGAGTACCTCTTCCCCTTCCTGGTCTCTCTGGAAAGGAATTTATGACACTTGAAACTGCTAGTGCACTAACAAAATAAAATCCAGAGTTCTCACGTTGAAAGCTAACTAACTGAAAGTTATAGCATGTAAATTAATTTAAAGTTTCAGCTGATATAATTATTGATATTCTGCTTTAAGCAAAACTTGAAAATCACTAACTACTGCAATTTAAAAGCACAGAAGCAATGAACATGGTCCTTATTGTGGGCATGCGTAGGACAGCTTCATATTTGGTGAGTTTCTGTACAGATATGTATAGGAAACCATGCACACCTTGCAGGTATATTGCCATATATGTTTCTTTTGCCACACGAACCGTCTGTTAATGCAAACACAGAGACCTCAAAGTGGTTTGCAAAAAGAACTCACATGGCACCTACCTGACACGAAGCTGTCCAGTCGCTGTCTGCTCTGAATTATCCTGCCTCTTGCTGAGCAAGTTTTGCAAATAAGGGACATCAGATCCTGAAACTTGGCAAGCCAAGATTCCTGCAGACAAGGAAATAATGAAAGCAATGGCAAACTCTCCCTCTGGTTTTCAGAGAAGTCACACTGAAATCCCCAGAACATTTATCTAGGCTATACTTTAGCTGTATAGGGTGGCGCTGTGGGTTAAACCACAGGGCCTAGGACTTGCTGATCAGAAGGTCGGCGGTTTGAATCCCCGCAACGGGGTGAGCGCCCGTTGCTCGGTCCCTGCTCCTGCCAACCTAGCAGTTCGAAAGCACATCAAAGTGCAAGTAGATAAATACCTTCTCTGGCAGGAAGGTAAACGGCGTTTCCGTGCGCTGCTCTGGTTCGCCAGAAGCGGCTTAGTCATGCTGGCCACATTACCCGGAAGTTGTACACCGGCTCCCTCGGCCAATAGATGAGCGCCGCAACCCCAGAGTCGGTCATGACTGGACCTAATGGTCAGGGGTCCCTTTACCTTTACTTTATACTTTAGGGACTCAGTGCCAATACATCCTTTCACTTCTAGCTCAGCACTGTGTGCTTCCAGTCAGGTCAGTTATGTTGCAGAGCTGCTAGAGAGACATGTGCAGTGTGGTTTCAATGAGCACCTCCAGGTTCACCAAATAGTCTATGTATGACTTAAGGCCCTAATGAATGGGGAATCTCTTCCAGTCTCTGGATAATTGTCATTTGCCTGCAGAAGGATAGGTTTCTCTTTCTCCCCAACCAGCGCAGAAATGCCGTGAACCGCTGGCACAGGGCCCTGATCTGGATTTGAATCCTGACACTGGCTGTAAGGGACTTTGCTCTCCTCTTCAGATGAAGAGCAGTATACAAATTTAATGAATTAATAATAATTAACATTACCCACCCTGCCTGGGAATGTGGCTCTCAGAATGGAAAAAAGGCAAAGGAACTAGAAACAAGTAAGTTTTAGATTTTCAGCTCAAGACCAAAATAAAAAATGAAGAAGATGGTTGCATTTATATTTTTATTCATTACATCAGCAACAGAAACAATTAGCAAGTGGGATCTCTTTTCAATTTGACAAGGTGGTTTTTCACTGCTGGAAAAGCACAAAAGTTTGCAAAGGTTAAGTACTACTACTGAAAACCTTTTATTTTCCAAAGAGAACAGGGTTAGCTTTCCTAAAATAAAAATTATCCCCAAACTAAGCTTGCTTTTCTTTTAAATAAAACAACCCCCACCCCAAGCTTATGTACTTACATTGCCTTCCAAAAGATCATGTAAAGAGCATCCTTTGTGGGCTTGCAGGTATTTTGTGTGAAAGAGGTTTCCATCAAATACACTCCACGCCATTATGTCATCCGCTTTAAAGGGGAGGCCACAGGTATTATTGGCTTTAATCATCAGAGCTAGGCCTCGTATGAAGAGAGAGCCAAGCTGGACGCCTCTTGAATCAACCTGAGGAAGCTGTTAAAGCATTTAAAAGGGAAGAGAGAGGAGTTGTTGCCTGTGCTTACCATGCTTCCGTTACAATAATATATCAATTAGCTATTGGGCTAAGCTCATTGTTTCGGTGTAGCCCTACACAACTTATACCAGGCATAGGCAAACTCAGCCCTCCAGACTACAACTCCCATCATCCCTAGCTAACAGGACCAGTGGTCAGGGATGATGGGAACTGTAGTCCCAAAACAGCTGGAAGGCCGAGTTTGCCTATGCCTGACTTATACCATCTTATTAGGAGGTCTGTTCCATGCAATGTAATAATAATAATAATTTATTATTTATACCCGCCCATCTGGCTGAGTTTCCCTAGCCACTCTGGGCGGAATTGGGCCTTTAGTGTTGTGGCACATACCCTTTAGAATATCTTCCCTTTAGACAGGTGCCATCCCTACAGTCTTTTCTATGCCTACTGAAGGCCTCCCTCTTCCAAACAGCCTTTTAAGCCTCGTCTCAATCTTTATTAGAATTGTTTTTTAAATGTTTTAAATAAATATTTTTGCTTTTTTGCTTCCTATTTGCTACCCTTGTCTCCGTTAGGAGGAAGGGCAGTAAATACATACATACATACATACATACATACATACATAGGTACAGCAGAAGTACATTCCAGAATTTTCCATTCCACTCTTCGCTTGTACCAGGGCCATATTTGTGATGCAAGGGGGACAAATAAACCAGGAAGCTGCAATTACACTTGACTTCCCACGGCATCCGAACCCAGGATCATTGTTTGCTTCTCCCCAACAATGTAGAATTCAGAAGCCAACAACAAACCATAGCTTAGCCATGAGAAACCAAACTTTCCTGGTTTCTGCGAGGGGAGGAATGAAGCATGCCACTCATTCCCAATGAAATATGAAAAGCCCCCAGCCTTGGCTTATTGTGACATGCAAACACGGCCGGTATCTCTAATTTTGACAGCAATGTTTAGTGGATGAGATGGGGATAAATGAAGCACTGACTGCATATGCCTCAACAGGAGCTGGAAGGAAGAATGGCTCCGAACTGTATCATGTTTCTTATTGCCTTCCTCCGCCATACAGAAGATGCTGTGGCTACAACCACCCCCCAATACAGGGGAAAATAAGAGACAAACCTATCTAATTCTTAGAAAAGTGAGGGAAAGTATTGTTGGAGTACATCACACAAAGTTAGAAGGCCACTGGACACCCGCCCCCCCCAAAAAGTGACTGGATTTGAAGGTGCGACAAGTAGTCAGACCTGCTTGTAGCTGGATATATTGTAGCTAGACATTTTGTGCTGGATATATTGGAGGGCACAGAGGATAAGCGAAACATTCAAATAACAAAATGCCAGATATATAAGCCTTTTGATGTTTTAAAGACAGGCAACTGGTTAAATCCACTTACTAGTTATTAATTTTAACGTCCAACTGCTTTCGCACCAAGAACCCAGGAAGAGAAGGAGCCCATTTACTTCTTACTGAGCAACTGGGTGGAATAACGCCTGGATATTTTCTTTATCTCTCTACAAGCAAAGGCTAGGGGGGTGGGAAGCCTAGAATATCATGGGGGACTCACAGCTGCCTCCACCCCCACGGCTATGGGCCTGCTGTTAGCTTACCATCCCAGCAGTACCAAACATGTGCAACCCTGAGAATGCGCTCAGTGTGGGGCTGCCTGAATGGCAAGGAGGCTGTGCCAGCTGCAGCAGCCTCCCAGGAACACATAATGAGAAATCAAAGGACGGGGGAAGGATGGTGGGGACGGTGGAGCAGGAGGGATCCTACTGCTACCTATACACAAGCTGCTTTTGCCTGAATGGTTTCCAGCAATGCCTAGCTGAGTCAAAGCCCTTTGCCCATGGCACGAGGAGAGCCAGGACACAGCCCCACCTGGCAGCTCTTGCTGTGAGGTGTGTGCATTTTGTCTTTGATGGATGACTTAATTACTGGTGATAGGCAGCCCCATTCATTTTAGGTGCCACTCCAGCAGTGTAGATCCTTCTGAAGGGACATTTCTGGTCCCCCCCTTTCTTTAATAATCGAGAGAACCTGACTGGGGAACTTGCTCCCATCTCATACTCATAGCCTATTTGAGCTGACCATATGGTACTATCCATGCCTAGGCAAGCTTTCCATCATCGGTTTTTAAAAAATGTAATAGCACCTTTTTTCCCTTCATACACATATACTTGCATAGACCAATGTGGTAACAGAACCCTAGCTTTAAATGCAAACAATCAACCTCTGGGCAAAGACACCAGCTTCTGTTTCTACTATACTTGTGGTGCCCTTCACAGCCACATGGGATTTTCCCACCCAGGGGGAAACATGGTATAGGCCCCATCGTTGTCATGCAGCCCCAAGTGCATGGAATGGCTTCACAGCTCCCATGCAGAAGTGGCTGAAGGATGCTTTCCTTGGAAGAGTAAAAAAGATCCATTGACTCCATGGTCCTGGGAAAAGGAAAACAATGATGGAGGAGGAGGAAGAGGAGGAGGAGCAGCACTCATCTCTTCAAACACAGTTGCGTATCTACAGAGCAGTTTGGTGGAAAATGTAGAAGGTGTTTAAGACTGTTATGCATGAGCTATGTGTAGATTAGGTTATTTTCAATGACTTTAAATGGTAATCTTAAACCTGTTAAAGATGTCTTTACAAGAAAGTGCAGTAGATGCTTTAATTAAATGACTGACAGCTACAGCCAGATGGTTGTATGGATGTTAGTGTTTGTTAAGTAAAAAACTGAAGGGCAACTTGGCTTATTCCCAAATCAAGTATGAACCTCGTTGGTGTGAACACCTACCTCTGCCTGCAATGAGGGAAATGTTGACAAGGATTATGCCAATAAAGGCTGAACGAATGTTGACAAGGATAAATATAAGTGTCAGTAAATATAAGATATCAGTCAGATAAATCAATCCATGCAAATGAGCAGATCACATGATGGCAGAATGAACATTATAGAAGTGACCCTCCAGCTTGAATATCTAAGATTTCAGAACTGTGAGCATTACTAATGTCAGGCTGGTATGGTTGACAGGGTGACTTGGGCTAGTTCACCGTCTCTCAGCTTAACCTATTTTGTACAATTCTCAGGGGGGGGGGGGCACATGCCATCTTGTGCACCTTGGAACAAGGGTAGGCTATATCCAAAAGACTAAAGCTTAAGTTAAGTCCTTCCTGCTTAGTCAAGGCAGCAGCAAACAGTTGAAAAGGAGGGTCTTACCAGCTAAGATATCTGTTGAAAGGACAAAACAAGAATAACCAGTTCTTAAATGTCCCTAATGCTTCACACAGTAAATATTTAACAGTAAACAGAACAGCAGTTTGGGGTATATATATGCTCGGAAAAGTTTGTTTACTGTGCTTCATTGGGAGATTTGTGTAAAGTGATACTTTGGTTGAACAAAACTGATATTTACTGTAAGCCAAGGCTCTGGAGTGAACCTAAACAAAGATTTCAATATCGCTTTACATTTTTGTGTCCCATGAAAAGACCCTGAAAATCAAAAACACAGCAAGAGACTCACAACAAACAGAGCCTTGTTTATTAATCGAAACCCAAATCAGTTAAATTCACTTCTAAAGCTCAAAGGGATTCATTTTGGGGCACCCCCCACAGAGCGGTTTCCTGCACTCCTGTTTTGACACTGAGTAGTAAGTGCACTGCAGAGAACTGTGCAAGGAAAAAGGATGGATGGATTGTGCCACCTGCCGTGTGGACCAGCTGATGACCAGCACAAGCGGAAAACATCCTTCTCACGTACACTGTGAGAATTAGATATGCAAAACCACAATGGCTATGCTCAGCTGCCACAGATGGACCAAATACCAGTTTCTGGAAACTATGGGAGGGGAGAGTGCTCTTCTGCTCATTATCTGCTCCCTGGTTTCCCACAAACATCTGGTTGGCCATTGTGAAAGCAGGAGGCTGGAGTAGATGGGTGATTGGTCTGATCTAGCAGGCTCTTTTCATGCTGTTATGGGCCATTTCCTTATACACACATACCCTGCAAGCTAAGAGAGGTTGAGGCTAAGAGACTGGGCTGTGTGGACAAGAAATCCCCGGTTGAAATCTCATCTCTGCTATGAGCTTTTACTAAGTGGCCTCAAGAAAGCAGCACACCCCTATCTGAAATATGGGACTGATAATGCTATCCTGGCTTTTTGCAGCGCATACTGAAACAAAATGCTCTGAAAATGTCTATAGTGCTAGACAACTGCCATTATTGCTGTTGCAAAGGGTGAAATCCTGCAAAGTCTGATTTTTGAAACTCAAAAGCAGCCATCTATTACCAAATTCCACTTCTGAGAAGACACACCTCTCCTACCAAACATGCATGCTGTTTACACTGATTGGATATGTACATAATTTGCATTTGAGTATGCACACTCAAGTATAAACAGGCAGCATGAAAAGTGGTTTTCAGACTATGTGGCCTACATACATATATCTATGTCTATACCTGTATCTAACATTACAGTTTTCATAATGTCACAATGAATATACATTGTAAATTGGTTTTATTATAAACTGAAGGAGGCAGGCAGGTGTTTGCTGGTACGGAGTATGATTGGTTAAAGTTAATGTATTAGTTACAAAATTACAAAATGATCAGCCCTGCAAGGAAAAGTACAAGCAAAATCTTTTCCATGTAAAACTTCTCTGGGTCTAAAATGAAAGAGAATACCTGTCCACATCACTTTAGATATCTATAAAACACTAATGCAAACTCTCAAAAATACCTTGAGCAAGTTGACCATCTGCTCAGGTGCAACACACCTAGAAGGGTTACCCAATAAAGGAAATAATATTTTACACTTAACAATACCTTGCTCTTGACGGATGTGGTACTGTGTTTCCTGACAAATAAAGCATTAAAAAGAACAGGCATATATAATGCAGCATAAATCAAATTAAACAAGATAAGAACTAAGGCTAACAAGAAAGCAAATAATTGCAGTGTTGCAGATCTTGTTCCAAATACACCTTGAA